CATACTGAAAGTGTACTCATTAAACATGCGATAAGCAAAGTGTTGCTCTGAGGTGTGTGTGTGTGTGTGTGTGTGTGTGTGTGCGTGTGTGCGTGTGTGTGTGTGTGTGTGTGTGTGTGTGTGGGGGGGGGGGGGGGGGGGGGGGGTTCTTGGGGTGACGTAGTGACTTTACATAATCTTAAGCATGCTCTTTCTGCGATGATTTCAAGGAGGGTCATACGTGTCCTGCTCAAAAGTAGTTTGATCAAAGTGACAACATTCAAGGCCTTAGTAAAGCTTTCAAATTTTTTATGGTCGACATGAGGACATTTCCGAATGTGACCCATCAGTGACAAAAATGATGTACGATGCAATTCTCTGTTTTGACGCGCACCATATATTTCCGTGCTTTTAGGTGAACAATTGACTTGCTTTTGCATGTGGTTTTAACTAGTGCTACTGGTGGGGAAGGTCATGCTCGCCTTTTCGCGAACACCTGGTATCATCACTATTTGATAGTGATTCATAAAGACATGCTCATGAGATTATCAGAATCGTACAGTGGTCTTTTTAGAGATTTCTCTATGTTTTGGAAATGTCTTTTGGCGCTTTTGTTCTGAAATATGTGCTGACCACCTCCGTGGTCTAGTGGTAGAGCGTCCACCCGGAGAACGGAAGGTCCGGGGTTCGATCCCCGGCAGCGTCATACAAAAAGACATTAAAAGATGGAACTTGTTGTTACCCTGTCTGGCGCTCGGCATTAAGGGGCTAAAACAAGGACTGGTCGGCTCGGAGTCAGTATACTGTGTGGGGTATTCATGTTATACTGCGGCATGGCATATCAGTGTCCTAGCACTAGAAATCGGCATCAGTCCGGACTAGTACAAGCAGCCACACAAACACACGCGTGCATGCATGTCGCTATATAAGTGCAATAATCTTGGACGCGACGTTAAACCAGATTTCACCTCACCTCCCCTCACCTGTATTCTGTGATTCCGATTACAGCAACCCTAGGCATAACTCGTCCTGATGAATTTTTTTCAGGATTATCGAATCATGGTTACCTACTGAGTGATGTCATTTTGTACTTTGGAGTTTTAGGAGAGACACAATTTTGTACCCATCCTCATCCACTCGTCCTAACCACACATAATGCTATGCCAATGGTTGAAGGGGCGGTCGGGTAGCCTAGTGGTTAAAGCGTTTGCTCGTCACGCCGAGGTCTTGGGTTCGATTCCAATAAGTGTATATAATATATCTCCTGTACCGCCGTGAGTGTTTTTTTCTGAAAATGAATGAGTTTGATCTATCAACTATCAGCGCTTATTTACTGTTAAGGTGCATATATACATATATACATATATATGTTCATAGCATAGCGGGGCGGTCGGGTAGCCTAGTGGCTAAAGCGTTCGCTCGTCACGCCGAAGACCCGGGTTCGATTCCCGACATGGGTATAATGTGTGAAGCCCATGTCTGGTGTCCCCCGTCGTGATATCGCTGGAATATTGCTAAAAGCGGCGTAAAAAACCATGCTCACTCACTCACCCAATGGTTGAATGTTGGTTCGAAATCTACACGCGCACGTTTTCCGTTTTAAGCGCACCTTTTGCGAACATATGGTATCATCACTTTTTGACAGTGCTGCATAAAATAACATGCTTATGATATAGTTGGATTCCTACAACTGACGATGCTTTTCAAGAAAGTGGAAATTGTATTTATAATGTTAAGTGTATCTACAACATGGACCAGGTTTATAGTGTATCTTGTAAGTGATGTCGGGATTGAGTTATCGCCCTTGATGAATTGTTTGTTTATTACAGGGTTAAGATAATGATTAATTTGTATATCATTGATTATTAAGTTCATGTTTATGTACAGAATATAGACGTATGTTTATATGAGATGAACATCCTTAAAGAGGCTGTACATAATGTTGATATCTCATATAATCATTAAACGACTCGTGGTTGTTGTTTATTGTACAATAAACCACTCGCCCTCATGGTTTATTCTCCCTGCAGTGTTGTATTGTACCCCCACTCGTCGTTTATTTCTTTAACAGTGGCCCGCTCATTTATGATAACATGTGGGCGGTTTAATGATAATTTTATCCATTTTAACTATAAAATAGTGTAAAGCGGGATGCTTTGTAGTCAGGTTGGAGCGGATGAAAATATGATAATTAATTTTGTATTTCAAATTGGTCTGTGAGAATTTTGCCTTTCGTGAATATGCTAGCCGTGTATAATATTGCCTCATGGAGAAACTCACTGGCCTGTGATTATTTCTGTAACTGACAGTGTAGCCGCGAATAGCTGCAATACTGCTGATGCGGCTTTAAGCAATATTACTCACTCACTCACTGACGGTGATAGTTTTGTTTCCAGCTTTCGGACACATTAATGTTTTCACTATCATTGGACATTCATGTACACAATTTCTTTTGTTAAATTATATTGAGCATGTTGAGGGTTTTATTATAAAGTACATAGGAAACTGTAACAACGGGAGATGACTCAGACTTTGTGTATGTAAGTAACATAGCATTTTCAAGCTCAAGTCATAATTTTGCTAAATGCTACTTGGAGAATGAAGAGCATGAAAAAAGCATGACCAAAGGACTACTAACGTGCGCCTGCGCCTTGACCTTATGATATTACGCATGCGCACGGACAGCGTCTAAAACGCGAGAACACGAGAACGCGAGATCGCGAGATCGCGAGATAATGAAATGTCGCATTCTCGCGTTCTCGCGATTTCGTGCTTTTGTGGCCTAATTTGACAACTCGAGATTGCGAGATTGCGAGATTTTGCATCATGTCCAAATGTCGCATTCTCACGTTGTCGACTTTTGACAAAAAGTGCTATGTACCAAAACACGAGAATGCGAGATCGCGAGAACGCGAGATTTGGCCCAAATCTCGCGTTCTCGCGATCTCGCATTCTCGTGTTTTGGGCATTTACCTCGTTTCCAAAGGTCGAGATCGCGAGAATGTCCCTTACAGTATTCCATAGGCAGGGGATAATGGCAAAACCAAAAGGCCATGACAGATACAGTCTCTTATTTGGTTTCGTGTTTATTTCGGAAAACGAAAGAGTTGGAAGTCTATTCTATCAGAATTTATTGCTTTTTTGTAGATTAAATGTTACCAATTAACAGGATTGGCATGCTGAATTGTGAGGTATACTAACATTTTTCAGTATTCATGTTTCAAGAATACTTTTTAAAAAATAAGTAAATTCGTGTATGTTATGGCACAGTTCCGCTGTAGTTGACATCAATGATGTATTGAGACAGGTAGACATGTGCACGTACCTAAAGAACAAAGACAGCACAAGGGCCACGTAGAGACAGAGTATCATGTTTTGCTGATCTGTACTGTGTAAAAGGATCACCAGCAAATGTACTTAATCCAGAAATATTATGACCGCCTCCGTGGTCTAGTGGCAGAGCGTCCGCCCGGAGAGCGGAAGGTCCGGGGTTCGATCTCCGGGTGCGTCATACCAAAAAGACGTTAAAAGATGGTACTTGTTGTTACCCTGTCTGACGCTCGGCATTAAGGGGCTAAAACAAGGACTGGTCGGCTCGGAGTCAGTATATTGTGTCTGAGTGGGGTATTCATGTTAAACTGCGGCATTGTATCTCAGTGTCCTTGCACTAAAATCGGCAGTACAAGCAGCCACACACACGTGCATGCACGTCGCTTTATAAGTGCAATAATCTTGGACGCGACGTTAAATCCAATTTCACCTCACCTCACCATAAATATTATGTCCAGCCATCACAAGTAAAATTTAATATACGCAAAATGAAGCAGTTTTAAGAAATGTAGTTACCATAAAATGAATGTTAAAAAAACTTAAGTTATTCTGATCTGCAAACTCTACAGAGTGTCATAATGTATAAATGAACGGAGCTGAATACTTGACTAGATACTGGACTAGATAATGTACAGCGGGCCGACGGCCTACATCTGTAGTGAATGGAGAGTACTTTATTATATACTTCAGTGTGAAAGACTGAGTTTTCCTAAGTTTGCAGTGAACATAACACTTGATATTTCACTGCTAAAACATATAACACTGACGGAACTATTGTCATACAAGAGTTCCCTCCCCTTAAATTGTCTCCCTTTATCGTTAGTGTCAAGCCAGCACACACATTGTTGACGTCCTTTTTACGTTAGTTCCACACTGACAAGGCAAAGGAATAAAAATATCGCATTTATGGAGTTAATATCACTTCTTTCCGTTTGTAATTCTCTCGAAAATGTTTCTTTGTAATCTGTTAATTTCTGATTCAACTCGTCAATCGAGACTGTTCGTTTCGCAAAGCGCAAGTTTTGTTACTTGACCAGCGTTTATTGTTTCGCTTCCAACAGCGGTCTCCTAGTTTTCATTTTGTTGTTGTTCAAGATGATTTTATATAAGATTATATCGAAATTTATGACAAAGAATTTCCGTGACCCTAAATAAGTTTTGATACTTTTTATATTTTAAAGATTCTGCAAACACGAAACTGCTTTTTTGTCGCAAATACAAGAGGCGGTGAACCGTCCCTGTGTGTTAGGTACGGAGAATTTTCGTTTCAAGGTTTTACATTTGTAATGAAATAATTTAGTTTTCCTTTAGAAAACTGCAAAAAAAGTATATAATAAATAGGATATATCAAGTGATTCGTGAAATATTATGTTTCTCTTTTCACTCACTCACCCTCAGCAGACAAGCTGAATAGCATAATGATTAAAGTTATTTACCTACGTAACGCCATTAAAGCTGCTTGTATTGACTTCCGTTAGATATGTATACTTGTATATACTTAACGGGACTCCTAGTGTTGACACATCAATGTTGACACATCAATGTTGACACACCAATGTTGACAGACATTTAACCAAACTAAATATTATGATGTTAGTCATTAAATATTAATGAAATGTTATTGCAGTTTTAAATTAGAATTCTTAAGGGTATATATTCTGTAATTCCTCTCTGATTCGACACAACTCGGTTGTTCTTCAAGCAAGATGATCGCTCCCGTTCTCTCTCTCCTCATGGCCCTTGGTTCTGCCAGTGGTAAGTTACACTTCTCTTCGTGAACATGCTCTGCTTGGTATATCTTCTTGAACACGGGGGGCACGGGTGGCCCAGTCGTCTAAAGCGCGATTTGCTGTGCAGAGTTGCGTCCCGTGGACACGCCAGAAGCCTATGATTGTGGGTTCGAATCCCGGTTCGACCCGGTTATGTTTCTAGATTTGTCAGCACCATACCCGTGCTCGTGGGTTTCACCGAAGTGATAAACGTCTGAGACCTGCATCACTTCGGGCTTTCCTCCCACATTAAGCTGACACGTAATACTGTTAAAAGCGGCGTTAAACACAACTCACTCACACTCCTTGAACACGCCCGCTCCCCGGGAATATGCTCTATCCACTAGACCAGGATGGCAATTTGTATATAGTATGGGTGTTTCATTATATACTTTAGTGTGGAGGACTGAGGTTTTCGAAGTTGAGAAAAGTTATACCTTCATTGCAGTGAACATAACTTTTGATATCTCCCTGCTGTGAACATAACACTTTGACGGAACTATTGTTATACAAGTTATACCGTGTCTAGTCACTACACAAACTGTGGACTTCCTGTTCGCGTTAGTTACACATTGACAAGGCACAATAATGACAGATGGTCATTTATGGAGTTAATATCGCTTCATGCCGTTAGTTTTTCTTTTGAAAATGCTTCCTTATAAACTGTAAATGTGTCATTTAACTCGTCAATCGAGACTGTTCGTTTCGCAAAGCGCCATTTTTGTTACTTGACCAGCGTGTATTGTTTTGCTTCCAACAGCCGCCTTGTAGATTTCAAGAGCATTTTTGGTTAAAGTTAATTTTGTTTATGTATTTAAAGATTTTGCAAACAAGAAACTACATTTTTATTTGCAAATACAAGGGGTGGTGAAGTGTCCCTGTTTTTTAGGTTGGGATAATTTACGTTTCAAGGTTTTGCATTTGTAATGAAATAAATTTAGTTTCCGGTCGACAACTACCGGTGCACACAAAGTATATGATAAATAGGATATTCCACTTGTCACGTGAAATATCATGTTTCTTTCATCTCGTGACGGGGGAAAAGGAGAAAAGCAAAAACAAAGGGAAAATATCTCCTTTCCCTTCGTCACTCAATGAGAGTAGCATTATTTCACTCGACACATGGTGTATCCTCTATACGAACGTCGTACAACTGAGGGTCGCATTATAAAACATGCCCCGGTTCTTGTTCCCCCAAGACCCGTCAGTCTAAAACCACACCGAACATCGGTCATCTCGTGTAAAATGTATGAGTGAGTGAGTTGTGTTTAACGCCGCTTTTAACAGTTTTCCAGTCATGACGGCATGTCAGTTTAATGTATGAGGAAAACCCGAAGTGATGTAGGCCTTAGACGTTTACCACTTCGGTGAAACCCACGAGCACGGGTATGGTGCTGGCAAACCTAGAAACATAATTGGGGCGAACCGGGATTCGAACCAACAATCATAGGTTTCTGGCGTGCTCAAGGGACGCAACTCCGCACAGCGAATCGCGGCGCCTTAGACGACTGGGCCACCCGTTGTCCCGTAAAATGTACGAAGACAAACATTGATTTTATTTACAGTTTATTCTCCGGTCGTTTTATATGTAACACAACATCTGACCTTCATCTGTTTCCGAATGTTGTACATACACCTGAAGCTCCAACTGAGTGGAGAACTTGTATCAATATTGAAATTTGAACTTTGACTCCCATGCGTCAATGGCGGTGTGTTGAATACGTACAACATTTTACGAATCCAGCGGGTTGGGACGAATGTCAATGGGAGTGCACCAACGTTCACATTTTACAACCCCGTACATGTATCAAACATGTAACGGGGTTTTACGAGAAATAGTTCACTCATTGATTTGTCCTTGTTCTGTCTTGTGCAGCTATCATAACCTTAGTATGGTACCTCGAAGAGGGGTCAAGGTCATTTGTGACGTTTAAGTGAAGTATTTTAAACGCAGGACCTCGTTCGAGAAAGAGTGAGTGAGTGAGATTTTACGCCGCTTTTAGCAATAATCCAGCAATATCACGGCAGGGGACACCACAGATGGGCTTCACACATTGCTCCATGTCGGAAATCGAACCCGGGTCTTCGGTGTGACGAGCTTTAACCACTAGGCTACCCGACCGCTCCTCGAGAAAGAGAACTTTGCGAAACGACTGTCATAACTCTTATACTTTACCGTAACTTGTATAATCGCAAAGTCTAACCATAGCATGGCAGTTTGCATCAAATGTAAGTAGTAGCCCAGATAATGCGTGCAACACGTCACAGATCAGCTCGTGGCCTGTGTATACGATGTCGTACATCACGCTTTTGTTGTAGTTGGTCTTTCCTTCCCTTGACCAGACAGCGGGCCCCACCCCCTACAGTGGTACATGAATGTAATATAACAATATCAGGGCCCGGTTCCACAAAGCGATCTTAACGCCAAAACTGCCAAGTCTATGTTAAAGTATGGAAATTACGATCGTCTCAGCGCTACGTTCGCTTTGTGGAAATGGGCCCTGGAATATACAATAAGTGAGTGAGTATGGTTTTATGCCGCTTTTAGCAATGTTCCAGCAATATCACGGCGGGACACCAGAAATGGGCTTCACACATTGTACCCATGTCGGGAATCGAACAAGGGGCTTCAGCGTGACGAGCGAACGCTTTAACCACTAATCTACCCGACCGCCCCTATATACAATAAGACGTCAAAAGATTATTTAAATTGATTTCAGATTTCATAAAATGTGTTTTGAAACAACAGTTTATGTCATATAACCATGCTAGGCCGACTTCAGCAATAACCATTAACCTGACCTTTTCGTTAAATAATAATTGATAATTATATAAAATTCAAAACTTTAATGTATGTTTCTTGTTCTTACAATATTTGTTTGGTCCTTGTTGTTCAGCATCGAGCGTTTACATTTCCATAAGCGAGGTCGCTTCAGGACAGCCAACAGAGTCCACGTCGTCGTTTTACTACGCAGCCATAACCCTTAACGCAACGTCGGACTTGGCCGTCGATGGCGACACCAATGGCGACTTCCTCTCCGGCAGCTGCTTCTCCAGCGATGTTCCGGACGTCAACCCCGTATGGTACGTCGACCTTGGCGAAAATTTCAACATCTACAGCGTCAAGATCTACAACAGAGGGGATTGTTGTGGTGCGTTGCTTTCTGCCTAACTTTCTGTTAATTAGCAGAATGAGTGAGTGAGTGGTTAGGTTAGCGCCGCTTTGAACGATGTTCCAGTTACGTCACGGCGTGTCAGCATAATGTGGGACGAAAGCCCAAAGTGATGCGGGTCTCAGACGTTTAACACTATAGTGAAAGCCATGAGCACGGGTATGGTGCTGACAAACCTCGATACATAATCGTAATCATGGTCACATGTTTAGACAACTAATGAATTAAATCTGTTGAATGTTTTCTTGGGTTTTTCTCATCTACATGCTCCGCTTGAGAGGGAATGTGTCGGCGGGTCATAGAAATGATATAAACAGGTTTGGTTAAACATGGAACTGAAATACCAATCAAAGCAGTGTTAAACTCACTCACTCACTCAAATATCATTATAATCATTGTCATAATATTTATCATTTTCGATTCGCAGCTGATCGTCTCGCTGATTTTGCCATCGACGTTGTCGAGAACAACCCCTTTTCTGGCGACCCTGGCAACGTGGTCAACTGTGGCAACATCGGCAACCCCGGGGATGTGGGCCTCAATGGAACAATAGAGATTACATGTCCTTTCCAAACCCTGTACTATAAGCACTACTTCAGCATTGTGTTCCCCACCGGCCGATACATCCGCATCACCAAAACGGGCGAGGGAATGATGGCGTTTTGCGAGATCGAGGTCAACGCCGCTACCAACATCTTCTACAAATACTCCTCCCGCGAAGAAAGTGGCGAAAATGGCCTTGCTCCAGAGGGCTTGAATACGTTCAAACCCGCAGCGGAAAACATGCATTATGTCCCAGTGACCTTACCCGTCACAAGCGACGCCTATGGTGATCAAAGTCAGGAGACGGAAGACGAATGAAAACGACATCCGAAAGGGAAACTTCTATCTACTCAGTGTTTCCTTGGCTTTGTCTCCCTTGAGAGAGAGTGTGTGGTCGGAGCATAATATGAAATAAACCATTTTGGTTCAAAATAAAACTGCTGAGTTTGTATGTTTTGTTTTTAAGTTATGGGCAAAATGGTTGACAATTTAACAATTTGACTCAAGTGTTCAAAATCAGTTGTGAATTTTGAACATTTTCGAAAAGGTATTTTTTTCAGAAATCCATGGGGTGGTTATTTAGAACTGGTGAGAGATGAGAAATATAGAGAAAATACAGATGGCATAACCCTTAACAACACACAATAGCAGCGGATATTAACAGTCGGTATACAAAAAGTATACTTCCGGACAAAACGAAGTATACACCCATGTTTGATGGTGGCTTAAAATGAAGCAAATGAGGAATCATTATTCGATGGTGATGTATTTGATACGGATATCATAGTTGCGTTTTGAACCATACGTTTGTAGCATTTGTAGAAGTGGCTTTTTTCTGCCTAGTAACGTTTTGATACAGTTTGTAATCAAATCCAATTTTCAAGTGTAAAAACATTTTGTTCCGGCAGTTTATACACCTCTTCCCTGAAATGCTTTAGTTTTACAAAAAATAATCGTTTAAAGGTAATGCCGGATGTGGTGTTGCTTCGGTTCCTTATTGACCGCCTCCGTGGTCTAGTGGTAGAGCGCCCACCCGGAGAGCGGAAGGTCCTGGGTTCGATCCCCGGCCGCGTCATACCAAAAGACGTTAAAAGATGGAACTTGTTGTTACCCTGTCTGGCGCTCGGCATTAAGGGGCTAAAACAAGGACTGGTCGGCTCGGAGTCAGTATACTGTGTCTGAGTGGGGTATTCATGTTAAACTGCGGCATGGTATCTCAGTGTGCTAGCACTATAAATCGGCATCAGTCCGGACTAGTACAAGCAGACACACACACACACACACACACACACACACACACACGTCGCTATATAAGTGCAATAATCTTGGACGCGACGTTAAACCCAATTTCACCTCACCTCACCATATAAGCAAAGATATCTTACAGAATATTTCTCTATATATGATGCAGTTTGTTTCACTGAAACACATCTGGATGTATCTGCAGATAATGAAGTTTTACACTGGCAATCATTTCATGATTCAGTGAGGAAAGATAGAATTGCTTTTGGCGGAGGCGTTATGATATACATGACTAAGTGTTTAACATACAAGAGGATGTATGAACTAGAAACTGTTACTGATGAGAGTATATGGATAAAAATATGTTTTCCTCAAGGGTCTTTGCTACTCTGTGTTATTTACAGACCAGGACACAATTTTATAGAGTTTTGGAGTCGTTTAGATAATTGTATCGAGGTTGGATTGGATGTATCATGTTACATGGCTACTGACGGTGATTTAAATGAAACTTTATTATCTAACAGAAATTATTATAGAAATGAAATTGTACCCCCCAAAAACATTAAGTAATGTAATTGTTGTGTCCACCAGAGTCTAAAATCTAGCACACTTTTGAATCAATCATTGTTTGTTAAGATGTCGACGTGAAGGACAGTGGTGTGATCGACTTTGATCACAGATCACAGACGTAGCACATATTATAGCATATAAAGACAACATGAATAGTTATGCTAACACCGATAAATTTCTTTCAAACTTTATAACGATCATATTGATAATTATTTAGATATGTTGTCAAAAATTGTGGAACATCTACAATCATTCCCCCGTAATGGAAAAAAAGATACGGATGACAGTTTCAGGTTTTACAAAAATCAGGGATATTGAATAAATATTTCCAATTCATATCTACCCTAATTGAAGAACGCGAATAATTACCATATTTTCAAGCAACACACTAAGATACCTTTTGATAAATTAACTGTCGTTATAAAATGTCTAATTATTTAGGCATCTGATACAGACAGAATGAATCATAAACTATTTAAGAAAACAGTAAACAGCATCAGTAGTGTTTTATGTCTGTTGTTCAATCATTCTTTGAGGTTAAATGCATATCCATCAAGACCTCATGTTATGCCTTTGTATAAGAAAGGTGATCATCCAGTTGTGTCAAATTACACTCATTAGTTAAATAGGTAAATTGTTTGACTGAGTTGTATTTAGGCATCTTTATAACTATTTTCGTGACAATAAATTGTTATTGAAATACAATTAAGGCTTTCAAAACGTTTATTCCACTGTTCATGAATTAATCGAATTGTATAATCAATTTTGTATATCTTTAGATGATAGTGAAAATTATTGTATGGTTCTTAGTGATGTGTCAAAAACATGTGATCGCGTCTGGCATAATGGGCTTATGTACAAATTAGAACAGAAATGTTAGAAATGTATGATAGAAAAGGGATTTTACTTCAATGGCTGTCTAGGTATATAAGCAATCGTACTCCGTCAGTTTTGTTTTAAGCGGGGCTCTATCAAATCAAGGATTTTGAAGGCTGACGATCTACAGAGGTCGGTGTTAGGTCCCCTTTTATTCATTGTATTTGTTAATGACATTGCTGATGAATTAGATTTCACAACAAGACTCTTTGCTGACGATACAGCAATCGGCTTTCCTCAACCTGATAATCAACAAGATGAATCAACTCTAAATATAATCTAAGCTAGCTATGTAATAGGGCAAAACGATGTTTAACTGAATACAACCCTGATATAACAAAAGCGGTTATAACTAATTGTAATAAAGAAGTTGTTCATCCATAGAACTTGTCTTACTTCACAATATCATCTCTTTTGAGACGTAATCTACAGCAGGGCGACACTCATAACTTGTCACGGTCCGGTTATCCACGTGTGCCGTCATGTCAACAGAACATCCATATTCGGTTTGTGCATCTACGGAATCGAGACAAAACTGCCACATTCACAGCTCGGGCAACGCTACTTTTAACAGTATTCCATGTCAGCTTAAAGTGGGAGGAAAGCCCGAAGTGATGCAGGTCTCAGACATTTACCACTTCGGTGAAACCCACGAGCACGGGTATGGTGCTGACAAACCCTGAAACATAATTGGGGCGAATTGGGATTCGAACCCACAATCATAGGTTTCTGGCGTGCCCAAGGGACGCAACTCTGCACAGCGAATTGCGGCGCCTTAGACGACTGGGCCACCCGTGCCCCCTATTGAGGAATAGCAACATCCTGCCCCGAACGTCCAGCGATACGCCCAAGTTTGCTTCTGCGTCACCGTCAGGTACGCCTTGCTTAGTGTGGACAGCATATAAGGTTCAGAAGACAAGACGAGGACAGTATGCTGTTCACAGGTGAGACCACCTTTCATCTGGTCAGCTCTGATGGTCGTGCAAGGGTCTACAGGCGTCTATGAAAACGTTTCAGTGTCGCTTGCGTTACGGAGGTGTAATTGTATGGGGTTGCATCGCAACTCAACGGAGAAGAAATCTCATCATTGCTAATGGTAATTTGAATGGCCTACGCTAGAGGGACAACATTTATGCAAATGTAGGGACGTAACGTCATGTTGCAGCAGGATAGAGCCCGCCCACCCCTTGAACGTTTTGTATAACTGACTGTTTGAGGTTGCATACTGTTGCTGTACTTCCATGGTCGGATGTTTCTCCAGACCTTTCCCCCATAGAATATGTCTGGGGTGAGATGGAACAAAACCTTATTTATATATATAACCGGTAACGTTAGCTTCGTTGGGCCAAACTTTGATTGACGTTTGGAACAACATCCCAGGGTTGTTTTCCATCATCTGGTGTCTTCAATGCACCGCTGCTGCCTCAATGGTATCCACGCAGATGGTGGTCACACCCGATATTAACATTGCAGCTGTTACACCATTCCTTTTTAGAGCGTGTCGCTCTGTCCTCTCTTACCAGGTATTGGTTTTTCAATGAATTACCAAATCTTATGTTGCTATTAGTATCATAAACGCCACTTTATATTAGTTACAGTTATTTATTTCCATTGTTAAATATAATTTTTTTTGGTGTAAAATATGAGATGTAGGAAACACCTAATGTAAAAAAATGGTCAAAGATATGAAGGTAATAAGTCAACGGATCGGATTAAAAAATACTGATGAAGGCAAGAGAGGTTACGCGACCGGTCTATCTGTGTATACAGTGTGATACAAATCTGTACATCACACGTGTGTCGTATTGACAAGGCATTTATCATTTTTATTGGATAACCATGACCTCTAAGTCACAAGGACACACACGAAACGTTCTGTCAGAAAACAATTCACGAGTCTTCTTCGAGACTTACACTTTATAAGCGAGTGAGTGAGTATGGTTTTACGGTGCTTTAACAATATTCCAGCAATATCATGACAGGGGACACCAGAAATGGGCTTCACACATTGCACCATTGTACATGTGGGGAATCGAACCCATATCTTCGGCGTGACGAGCGAACGCTTTAACCATTTAACTACCACACTTTATTAAACGAAACAAGCAGGCCAAACACGTCAATGTCGCTAAGAAGTTATATCTTAACAAAGATCTTATTATTGAATTCAAGACATCATTTAGACATATAGGCAATACTCGAATCACAACAATTGGACTTAAGTAATTCCGATTTCAACTTATATTTACTTATTTCCTACCTGTTTCAGCATTTTGGTCCTTTTGTTGACATAGCATGGCACGTTAACGAATGTCCATTGTGTTATTTAGGTGAGCTAGACCAACGTAGACGTATAAAACAAAGTTTGGAAATTTTAGTAGTCATTAAATATTACCACATTCTTTTCTGTCCAAACGTATCTAACACCGTTATACGTGGAAAAGTTGAGGTCGTCTTAATGGTGAGTAATAAAACAATAAAATAATTGTTTTGTAAAACATTGTTTCAATGTTTCTATCTTGTCTTAATATGTCATATAACTTTATACATGTATACATTAATGGTTGGAAACAAAAGTATAACGACTTAACATTGTTTTTGTTTGTCATCAACAAATAATCGTTTCGACACTTTGATGTACGTCATCCCTGTAATATATTATTTCGAATGATTATATATTGTTCCTTGTCACTCTGTTGACAACAAAAGATGAACAAATGGTCGTACAGCAGGGATTTTTTATTGAGACGACAAGAAAAAAACATTTACATTTATTTCGCGATTGAAGGTATTTAATAATATTGATTCAGCTGTTCCAATTAACGTCAGTACGAGTCCAATCAGACGCAGCTTCCGGTTAATGTTGTTCCGGTTGCGATTGAAGGTATTTAATAATATTGATTCAGCTGTTCCATTTAGCGTCAGTACGAGTCCATTCAGACGCAGCTACCGGTTAATGTTGTTCCGGTTGCTGTTGAGCATTTGGCTGGGCGGCTACAGGAGCGGGCACGGGGACGCGGTGCATGTCTCCCTGGGGCTCGAACTGGGTGACGGTAATGTTGGAAGCAGCTCCATCAGCAACACCAGCGTTGGCTACACCAACACTGGAGTATGGGTAGTAGACGTTGGTTGCAACGTTGACTTGAACCTCACACAGTGTCAGTAGTCCATCAGCATCCCCAGTGCTTGTTTTTGTAATACGGATGTAGCGGCCATTTTGGAAGACGGTGTAGAAGTAGTAGTAATAGTAGTAGTAGTAGTAGTAATAGTAGTAGTAGGTTTGAAAAGGACATACAATTTCCCGAGACTGGCTCAACCCAACACCTCCGGGGTTGCCGATAGTGCCACAAGTTTGGACAGTTCCCGGGGTGCCAGTCAAGGGATTGTTCTGAAGAATGTCGACCCTGATGTTGTTGAGACGTTCAGCTGCAATGCGAAAGGCATGTTGATATAGTTATACACTTTAGTCGTTGTGGTATGTCATCATCAGGGTTATCCACAGAAATAGGGGAGGCACTGTCTCAAAATATTGTCACTTTAAATACTACAGGAAGTAGGAGGTTTAAGGAATAAATTTTCAAATGACCAGTTTGAAGTAACATTTGTAAAGCATTAACAACGCTATTATTGATGCAGTTGATTCTAAGTCAGCCATTCACCAGACAAGTAAAACTATAGGTCATTATGCAAAATGATAGAAAAAAAGTAAATATCAACCATAATATGCTTTAAGCTTTAAGAAATCACTCGAATCTGTTGCGTCCGGAAGTAGAATCGACTCGCACCCTTTGAATCTACATCCGCAATCAACAGGTACTCGTTAATTTTCCATGACGTAATAATGACAGAGGATACAGTGAATGAAACAATATACACTTACCACAGCAGTCTCCTCTGTTAAAGATCCTGACGCTGTAGATATTGAAGTTTGCTCCAAGGTCGACGAACCACACGGGGTTGTCGTCGCTGATGGCACTGGAGAAGCAGCTGCCTGAGAGGAAGTTGCCATTTGTGTTGCCATCGACGGCCAAATTGGAGGTCGCATTTAGTCCTTGAGCGGCGAACACGAAAGACGATGTTGACCCCGTTGATTTACCCGTCGCGATCTGGCTTGTTGAAACGAAAACGTTTTGTCCTGCAAGAAATATAAGAAGTGTAGGAATGACTTTCTGAAGTAAAATGTGTATGAAAACGGAATGACAGTTACATGAAGTAAGAATGACATGGCTCCTATACTGACTGATGTGCACGTGCTTTCGCGACATATTCTTCTCATGGGATGACCGATAAACTATAGTAATATACAAGAATCAGGTGGTTCTTAGCTAATCTCCCATTGCTGACTGAAGTGTATATTGTTTCGAGACATAGACTTGACAAAATGAATGCCATGACCCATAACGAATCAACTAACTTGAAACTCAAACTATGTATTTCGTTTGTTGTCTAACACCGTACTCAGCAATATTCTGTAAATAAACGAATCCTGACTAGAAAATCCATGATTGACATCGTCAGCATCGATCTAAAAATTGGGATACGATGACATGCATCAACCCAGTCAGCGAACCTGACCACCCGATCCCGTTAGTCGCCTCTTACGACAAGCAAAGCCGCTTTTTATGCCAAGCATGGGTTGCTGCAGCCTATTCTATCCCGGATCTTCACGGGTCGAAGGCCCAAACTAAAAAAGCCAGATATAGCCAGATATAAATATAAAAGGGATATAAATGTAGTTCTATCTCACCTTGGGTAGAACCAAACAGCATCAACAGGGAAATTAGAAGACCAAACATCTTGAGCATCAGTTTGTTGAGATATGTCTTCTAGTAGAGAAAGACAGGAGAATTTATAGTTTCCTTTCTTAATCAAGAAATTGATGGTTTAATTTTAAAACCAGTAGGGGTTTTGGTACAGAAGTTCAAATTTGAAACGTTTAATGAGAATCCTAATTTGATACAGACAGAACGTGTTCGCGTAGTATAATTATATATTGCATAATAGGACAATGTTTGTGAAACGTGGCAACACATGGGCTATAGCTGACACAGTCCTGAGAGAACATGTGTTGCGACAGTTCCTATCTGAAATTGGGTGTAGAAATGTTTATGGGATAAACACTGCAGTTCAAGTATAGGAACATTGTTTAAGATTTATTTTGTGATTGCTGGTTTGTGACATCGAGCAACTAAGTTTCAAAGTTTCATAAACATTAAATCTCAAGCTTTAAAATAGTGCCATATTAGCCTTAAAGTTTTTACCAAAGAACTTTTGTTTTAATTTTAAGCAACCAATTCCATTGTTGTTTCAACGTTAAATCTTCAGTTTTGGAAAACGTTACAGATTCCATGGATTGCTGACGATAAAAACAATTTCCAAGGACTTTTTAAAAATTTGCACGACAAATATTCGAAATTACGATAATTCTTATTAAAATGCCTACATTTATCTAAAACCAGTTTGTAATTATATATATCTTTAGCCTACAGAATACTATGGGTTAATGGGTATATGAAAAAGAATGAATAGTTGTTGCTCAATCTCTTTTTTAATTTAATTTTATTGAGAAGAGATGAAGGCTAATAGCGTTCAAAATACAGAATGTTCAACATGTAGATTTATGTACTTATGTGGAGGCTTAATTTTCTTAATAAATCGTTTGCAGTGTCACGATACAAAGATTTGTGTAGAAACCCTTGATATCATATCATTATTTCAAAAGTTAGTATTTTTTTATGATGCTTCTAACCCATCGTTAATCACGTTAAGAAATCAATCTGATCAAAATATCTTATATTCTTCAAAGAAACCAGAGACTGAGTCAAATTAAAAACTTCACATTTTTAAAAGTAATCCCATATATGATATACAACGGACAAATGTATCAGAGAAGGTAATTTTTAATCATTTATGTCCAAAGAAGGATTTTAATTGACGGTGGTAACCATAATTTGTTCCAAGCACCTACGGTATTGGGTAATAACATCAACAGTTTAAATCATAAGTCCCAAGCAGGAGAATCTGATGGCACACAAGTTCAGGGGCGTGTATGGCCACCATGTGCGTTGACAACTGCCACACAACGCCTCCGCATGGGCCTTGTGATGCTTGTGAACACATGATTGGGAAGACGACGCCATTGTTGCTGCAAAATGGTGCCAAGATCTTGCAAATTCTGTGGTTGGTTCTGGAGAGTGGGCAGACTTCTGCCAAGAGCATCCCAGACGTGTTCGATGGGATTGAGGTCGGGAGATCTTGACGGCCAGTCCATGACGTTGACTACCGCATTCTAAAGAAAATTCCTTGTCAAAATTGCTGTGTGGGGTCTGGCATTGTCGTGTTGGAAGATCAAACCGGGTCAATGTGCTGCCATAAAAGGCAGAAGATCTGATGCCAGTACCTGGTCGCAGTAAGCAGCAGGGTTGAGGTTGCCACGGATGACAAGAAGCCTGGAACGTGCATTGCCACAGAAAGCAACCCACACCATGACACTTCCGCCTCGAAATCTGTCAACTTCCTGTACACAACACTAGGCGTAACGTTCATGACGGCGCCTCCACACCCTCTCCCTACCATCAGCAAATCGAAGATAAATCGGGATTCATCACTGAAGACAACTTGATTCCAATTCCTCTGAGTCCATCGTAAGTGTCGCTGTGCCCACAACTGACGTTGACGTCTGTGTAATTGAGTCAGAATCGGCCCGCAGTATGGCCGTCGTGCTTGAAGGTGAGCAGTTCTCAGATGGTTTCAAACAGTTTGCGCACTCAGTCTACCCCTAAACAGTTCATTTCTGGTTGATGTAGCCGTCAAAAATCGGTTACGGAGGTGGCGTAAGACAATCTGACGATCCTCTGCATGTGACGTCACACGTGGTCGACATGGCCGAGTGCGATGGGCGGTGGTACCCGTTTGCTGTAGACGCGTCTGTAAATCATAAACAGTCGGTCGACTACAACCCATCGTCCTTGCGACTTCAGCTACGGACGTTCCCGTCTGCAACATGCCGATGGCACGTTCACGTTGCACATTTGAAAGGCGTGGCATGACAAATGGCCGTAAAGACTTTTGTTTTCTTGTGTTTTTCTTCTTTTTCTTAATGACTGCTTACAAGTATGGCTGAAAACACGTTCGGTATTTTGGCCACGTGACCAGCTGCACGTGAAAAACCACTTTTGCCACTATAGTGCTGTGCACATGATTTTGATCGATTCACCTGCACAAAAACGGGTGTTATCCGAAGACAATACGTGGCCATTACTGTTTAAATACACAATACGGGCCCACAATGATAACTGGTCAAAATGTTAAAATTTGAGGATTGTGAAGCTTTGAATTTGGTTCAGTATATTTTTCAAATCAAAAGAAATTTGAAAAGTTTGGAGAATATCTTTTCCACAAAACCCACAGATCTGAATCGCCATGAATATGTGCAGGACCAATAATACTACTTGGATGTGTTCATGCAATTGATGTGACAATTTTTTTTATTCTGTTTTTAAATAAAAAACAAAACTGAGTTTCAATTGTGGAAAATGTTTGAGCCTCTTCTTCTCCGAAGCTATACACCTAAGAAACATATGTAGAATTACAGTTGGATTCCGATTTAATCATACCTTTCGTATGGCAGGAGTACAGATTTGCGGCGTCGGGGAAAGAACAAAGACTTCCTTTTAATGCAAATGTGTGAGTGGTGGGAGAGCAGAACATGCTTACTCTTTTCGTGAACACCTGGTGTCATCACCGATATTCAGTGATCCATTCATCCAATTTCCTCCACAGATTTGTCTATGGCGCTCAATGGAATCTGTTTCGGTGGATGATAGAGACTGATTATTTTCTATGTTCTTGAAGTGGGTCGATGTGTCTGTCTGGTGGTAGATTGAATTCTCCAAGATTCATCATAACGTCAGTACCATGTATCAATTATGCTTCGGCAACTACAAAAGAAATGCTTCTGTGAAGGAAAAATACATATATTTGTAATGTTCTTTACTTGTAAGCAGTATAATACATGCACTAGTAGGCAGCAGACGTATTTAAAGGTTAACAAATCGTTTTCAGTTTCAACGAAATCAGTAAATGGGTCATCCTGTCACTGCATTGTCTGGTCATGACTCGAGTGTTTCCAGTCCGCCATCGTAAGGCGGGAGTACAGCTGTGCGGCGTTAGGAAACAAAGAACCCTTCCCTATTATATGCAAATTGTGTGAGCGGTGGGTGCAACCGGTAGGGCAGGACATGCTAACCCTTTACGCAAACACCCGGTGCATCTCTGATTTTCGGTGAAGTATTCATCTAATCTTCACCACTGTTTTCCTTTTTGCGCTCAATGGAATCCGTTTCGGCGGATCATTCTTTTGCATTGGCGTTGGTGTTTTATATTTACATGTAGGTAATGAATAAGTTTATAGTTTTCTTAAAATTCCGAAGTTTGGCTTATTCCGTGTTGTGTATGAAAATATGGTTACAAGACTTATTTTGTAAACATCATCACCTGCTTTGGCCATTGTTGGGCTCATTACGAAATTAATATATATATATATATTTCAGGAATTTCTTAACTGTTTGTTGAGGTATAATAATGAAAGATCTAACATAAATATCATACCGTCCTCTCATAAAGGCAGATATCATTAGCGGTAGGGCAGGACACGCATACAGTTTTCGTGAACACCTGGACTCATCACTGATTGTCAGTCATCAATTCATACATAAGAATACTAAGTTGCCTTTTACGTCCATTGGCATCTGTTCCGGCAGATAATCGTGAATGATGATTCTCCGGCATTGACTTTAATACGTATCAAGCATAAAGAAACATACTCACTTTTGTATACATTTTGAGAAAATGTTTCAATTTCCGTGGACACGTGGTCCTCAATATGAGTAAATAACTAAACTCAAGTCATACTATTTGCGACGTTCAGAGAACTTCAGTATTGTGATTTACTGAGTGTTTGAGTGATTAAATGATTGATTGAGTGGGTGTGTTTGTTGATTCTGTGAGTAAGTTTGGTTTTACACATTCTTTATTTCTCCGACTATCACAAGAGGGAGGTAGCGATTTGAATAATTGTGTTCTAAACATTGTTTTATTTATGTCACACTTGGAGTCATCAAAGAATTGGCTTCACTCATTCTGCCAATCGTTGAAATCGACCCCAGGCCTAATGGCTTATGGCCAGTGATGGCGCTATTTTAATACTTGCTCCTTATCATTAGAGCTGAGCGTTGCCATCAGCTTGTGGTCGAAGTGTCTTGTGACATTGGAAAATGAATATAAAACTGTTAAATATTAGATAAGCAGAGTGTTTATTGACAGGGACAATACAAAGTCAAATCATCAAAACACAGACATTATATTGCATGAATAGGAGTAGAAAGTCTTCATTCTCCCGGGGAATATTCTCAATAAGAATTTGTTTCATTAAAGGTCTTGTGAGACATACACAAGGATACAACATCAGGTTTGTTTAGACGTAGGTGCTCCAGTTTAAATTATGTAACATAATCACGATTTTTGTTTAGCGATCTCAGTACTGATCGAGTGATAGTAAGGCGTCTTTTCAGTAAACAGCAATACGAGTTCTCTCAGACGCAGCTTCCGGTTAATGTTGTTCCGGTTCCTGTTGAGTATTTGGCTGGGCGGCTACGGGAGCGGGTATGGTGACACGGTGCATGTCTCCCTGGGGCTCGAACTGGGTGACAGTGACTCCATCAGGAAGAGATCCGACTTTGGGAGTAGCTTCATCAGCAACACCAGCGTTGGCCACACCAACAGTGGAGTATGGGTAGAAGACGTTGGTTGCAACGTTGACTTGAACCTCACACAGTGTCAGTAGTCCCTCAGCATCCCCAGTGCTTGTTTTTGTAATACGGATGTAGCGGCCATTTTGGAAGACGGTGTAGAAATAGTAGTAATAGTAGTAGTAGTAATAGTAATAGTAGTAGTAGGTTTGAAAAGGACATACAATTTCACGAGACTGGCTCAACCCAACACCTCCGGGGTTGCCGATGGTGCCACAAGTTTGGACAGTTCCCGGGGTGCCGGGAAGAATGTCGACCCTGATGTTGTTGAGACGTTCAGCTGCAATGCGAGAGGGATATTGATATAGTTATACACTTTAGTCGTTGTGGTATGTCATCATCAGGGTTATCCACAGAAAAACGGGGAGGCACTGTATCTTTGTATTGCCACTTTAATACTACAGGGAGTGGGAGGTTTAAGGAATAGATTTTCAAATGACCAGATTGAAGTAACTTTATTTAAACCATTAACAATGCTATTGTTGATGCAGTTGATTCTAAGTCAGCCATTCACCAGACAAGTAAAACTATAGGTCATTATGCAAAATGATAGAAAAAAAGTAAATATCAACCATAATATGCTTTAAGCTTTAAGAAATCACTCGAATCTGTTGCGTCCGGAAGTAGAATCGACTCGCACCCTTTGAATCTACATCCGCAATCAACAGGTACTCGTTAATTTTCCATGACGTAATAATGACAGAGGATACAGTGAATGAAACAATGTACACTTACCACAGCAGTCTCCTCTGTTAAAGATCCTGACGCTGTAGATATTGAAGTTTGCCCCAAGGTCGACGAACCACACGGGGTTGTCGTCGCCGATGGCACTGGAGAAGCAGCTGCCTGAGAGGAAGTTGCCATTTGTGTTGCCATCGACGGCCAAATTGGAGGTCGCATCTAGTCCTTGAGCGGCGAACACGAAAGACGATGTTGACCCCGTTGATTTACCCGTCGCGATCTGGCTTGTTGAGACGAAAACGTTTTGTCCTGCAAGAAATATAAGAAGTGTAGGAATGACTTTCTGAAGTAAAATGTGTATGAAAACGGAATGATAGTTACATGAAGTAAGAATGACATGGTTCCTAGACTGACTGAAGTGCACGTGCTTTCGCGACTTATTCTTCTCATGGCATGACCGATAAACAATAGTAATATACAAGAATCTGGTGGTTCTTAGCTTATCTTCCAAGCTGATTGAAGTGTATATTGTTTCGAGACATAGACTTGACAAAATGAATGCCATGACCCATAACGAATCAATTAACTTGAAACTCAAACTATGTATGTCGTTTGTTGTTTAACACCATACTCAGCAATATTCTGTAAACAAACGAATCCTGACTAGAAAATCCATGATTGACATCGTCAGCATCGATCTAAACAATTGGGATACGATGACATGCATCAACCAAGTCAGCGAACCTGACCACCCGATCCCGTTAGTCGCCTCTTAAGACAAGCATAGTCGCTTTTTATGCCAAGCATGGTTTGCTGCAGCATATTCTATACCGGATCTTCACGGGTCGAAGGCTCAAACTAAAAGAGCCAGATATAGCCAGATATAAATATAAAAGTTCCATCTCACCTTGGGTAGAACCCAACAGCATCAACAGGGAAATGAGAAGACCAACCATCTTAAACATCAGTTTGTTGAGATATGTCTTCTAGTGGAGAAAGACAGGAGAATTTATAGTTTCCTTTCTTAATCAAGAAATTGATGGTTTAATTTTAAAACCAGTAGGGGCTTTGGTACAGAAGTTCAAATTTGAAACGTTTAATGAGAATCCTAATTTTATACAGGCAGAACGTGTTCGCGTGGTATAATTATATATTGCATAATAGGACAATGTTGGTGAAACGTGGCAACACATGGGCTATAGCTGACACAGTCCTGAGAGAACATGTGTTGCGACAGTTCCTATCTGAAATTGGGTGTAGAAATGTTTATGGGATAAACACTGCAGTTCAAGTATAGGAACATTGTTTAAGATTTATTTTGTGATTGCTGGTTTGTGACATTGAGCAACTAAGTTTCAAAGTTGCATAAACATTAAATCTCAAGCTTTAAAATAGTGCCATATTAGCCTTAAAGTTTTTACCAAAGAACTTTTGTTTTAATTTTAAGCAACCAATTCCATTGTTGTTTCAACGTTAAATCTTCAGTTTTGGAAAACGTTACAGATTCCATGGATTGCTGACGATAAAAACAATTTCCAAGGACTTTTTAAAAATTTGCACGACAAATATTCGAAATTACGATAATTCTTATTAAAATGCCTACATTTATCTAAAACCAGTTTGTAATTATTAATATCTTTAGCCTACAGAATACTATGGGTTAATGGGTATATGAAAAAGAATGAATAGTTGTTGCTCAATCTCTTTTTTTAATTTAATTTTATTGAGAAGAGATGAAGGCTAATAGCGTTCAAAATACAGAATGTTCAACATGTAGATTTATGTACTTATGTGGAGGCTTAATTTTCTTAATAAATCGTTTGCAGTGTCACGATACAAAGATTTGTGTAGAAACCCTTGATATCATATCATTATTTCAAAAGTTAGTATTTTTTTATGATGCTTCTAACCCATCGTTAATCACGTTAAGAAATCAATCTGATCAAAATATCTGATATTCTTCAAAGAAACCAGAGACTGAGTCAAATTAAAAACTTCACATTTTAAAAGTAATCCCATATATGATATACAACGGACAAATGTATCAGAGAAGGTAATTTTTAATCATTTATGTCCAAAGAAGGATTTTAATTGACGGTGGTAACCATAATTTGTTCCAAGCACCTACGGTATTGGGTAATAACATCAACAGTTTAAATCATAAGTCCCAAGCAGGAGAATCTGATGGCACACAAGTTCAGGGGCGTGTATGGCCACCATGTGCGTTGACAACTGCCACACAACGCCTCCGCATGGGCCTTGTGATGCTTGTGAACACATGATTGGGAAGACGACGCCATTGTTGCTGCAAAATGGTGCCAAGATCTTGCAAATTCTGTGGTTGGTTCTGGAGAGTGGGCAGACTTCTGCCAAGAGCATCCCAGACGTGTTCGATGGGATTGAGGTCGGGAGATCTTGACGGCCAGTCCATGACGTTGACTACCGCATTCTAAAGAAAATTCCTTGTCAAAATTGCTGTGTGGGGTCTGGCATTGTCGTGTTGGAAGATCAAACCGGGTCAATGTGCTGCCATAAAAGGCAGAAGATCTGATGCCAGTACCTGGTCGCAGTAAGCAGCAGGGTTGAGGTTGCCACGGATGACAAGAAGCCTGGAACGTGCATTGCCACAGAAAGCAACCCACACCATGACACTTCCGCCTCGAAATCTGTCAACTTCCTGTACACAACACTAGGCGTAACGTTCATGACGGCGCCTCCACACCCTCTCCCTACCATCAGCAAATCGAAGATAAATCGGGATTCATCACTGAAGACAACTTGATTCCAATTCCTCTGAGTCCATCGTAAGTGTCGCTGTGCCCACAACTGACGTTGACGTCTGTGTAATTGAGTCAGAATCGGCCCGCAGTATGGCCGTCGTGCTTGAAGGTGAGCAGTTCTCAGATGGTTTCAAACAGTTTGCGCACTCAGTCTACCCCTAAACAGTTCATTTCTGGTTGATGTAGCCGTCAAAAATCGGTTACGGAGGTGGCGTAAGACAATCTGACGATCCTCTGCATGTGACGTCACACGTGGTCGACATGGCCGAGTGCGATGGGCGGTGGTACCCGTTTGCTGTAGACGCGTCTGTAAATCATAAACAGTCGGTCGACTACAACCCATCGTCCTTGCGACTTCAGCTACGGACGTTCCCGTCTGCAACATGCCGATGGCACGTTCACGTTGCACATTTGAAAGGCGTGGCATGACAAATGGCCGTAAAGACTTTTGTTTTCTTGTGTTTTTCTTCTTTTTCTTAATGACTGCTTACAAGTATGGCTGAAAACACGTTCGGTATTTTGGCCACGTGACCAGCTGCACGTGAAAAACCACTTTTGCCACTATAGTGCTGTGCACATGATTTTGATCGATTCACCTGCACAAAAACGGGTGTTATCCGAAGACAATACGTGGCCATTACTGTTTAAATACACAATACGGGCCCACAATGATAACTGGTCAAAATGTTAAAATTTGAGGATTGTGAAGCTTTGAATTTGGTTCAGTATATTTTTCAAATCAAAAGAAATTTGAAAAGTTTGGAGAATATCTTTTCCACAAAACCCACAGATCTGAATCGCCATGAATATGTGCAGGACCAATAATACTACTTGGATGTGTTCATGCAATTGATGTGACAATTTTTTTTATTCTGTTTTTAAATAAAAAACAAAACTGAGTTTCAATTGTGGAAAATGTTTGAGCCTCTTCTTCTCCGAAGCTATACACCTAAGAAACATATGTAGAATTACAGTTGGATTCCGATTTAATCATACCTTTCGTATGGCAGGAGTACAGATTTGCGGCGTCGGGGAAAGAACAAAGACTTCCTTTTAATGCAAATGTGTGAGTGGTGGGAGAGCAGAACATGCTTACTCTTTTCGTGAACACCTGGTGTCATCACCGATATTCAGTGATCCATTCATCCAATTTCCTCCACAGATTTGTCTATGGCGCTCAATGGAATCTGTTTCGGTGGATGATAGAGACTGATTATTTTCTATGTTCTTGAAGTGGGTCGATGTGTCTGTCTGGTGGTAGATTGAATTCTCCAAGATTCATCATAACGTCAGTACAATGTATCAATTATGCTTCGGCAACTACAAAAGAAATGTTTGGCCCGAGACATTAAATCTACCTTCTGTGAAAGACAAGAACATATTTTTTAATGTTCTTTACTTGTAAGCAGCATAATACATGCACTTGTGGGCAGCAGACGTAATTAAAGGTTAACAAATCGTTTTCAGTTTCAATGAAATCAGTAAATGGGTCATCCTGTCACTGGATTGTCTGGCCATGACTCGATTGTTTCCAGTCCGCCATCGTAAGGCGGGAGTTTGTGCGACGTTAACAAACAAAGAAACCCTTCCCTTTTTATGCAAACTGTGTGAGTGGAGGGTTCTACCGGTAGGGCAGGACATGCTAATCCTTAAGACAAACAGCTGATGTCATCTCTGATTTTGGGTGAAGTATTCATATAATTTTCACCACTGTTTTTCCTTTTTGCGCGGATCATTCTCTGGCATTAACGTTGGTGTTTTATATTTACATGTAGGGAATAAATTAAGATTATATTTTTCTTAAAATTCTGTAATTTGGCTTATTCCGTTTTGTGTGTGAAAATATGGTTACAAGACTTATTTTGTAAACATCATCACCTGCTTTGGCCATTGTTGGGCTTATTACGAAATTAATATCATATATATATATATATATTTCAGGAATTTCTTAACTGTTTGTTGAGGTATAATTATGAAAGATCTAACATAAATATCATACCGTCCTCTCATAAAGGCAGATATCATTACACAGCAACTCTCTCCTCATTTGATGAGTATGATGGTTGGTGAACAACAGTGACTTGAGGTTAGTTTAAGATATATGTGCTTGGTCAAAAAGTACCGGAAATTATTTATAGCAGGAAATGTCTTATTTTTATGCAAATTGTGTGTGTGGCGGGCGGTAGCGGTAGGGCAGGACACGCATACAGTTTTCGTGAACACCTGGACTCATCACTGATTGTCAGTCATCAATTCATACATAAGAATACTAAGTTGCCTTTTACGTCCATTGGCATCTGTTCCGGCAGATAATCGTGACTGATGATTCTCCGGCGTTGACTTAAATACGTATCAAGCATAAAAGAAACATACTCACTTTTGTATACATTTTGAGAAAATGTTTCAATTTCCGTGGACACGTGGTCCCCTATATGAGTAAATAACTAAACTCAAGTCATACTATTTACGACGTTCAGAGAACTTCAGTATTGTAATTTACTGAGTGTTTGAGTGATTAAATGATTGATTGAGTGGGTGTGTTTGTTGATTCTGTGAGTTAGTTTGGTTTTACACATTCTTTATTTCTCCGAATACCACAAGAGGGAGGTAGCGATTTGAATAATTGTGTTCTAAACATTGTTTTATTTATGTCACACTTGGAGTCATCAAAGAATTGGCTTCACTCATTCTGCCAATTGTTGAAATCGACCCCAGGCCTAATGGCTTATGGCCAGTGATGGCTCTATTTTAATACTTGCTCCTTATCATTAGAGCTGAGTGTTGCCATCAGCTTGTGGTCGAAGTGTCTTGTGACATTGGAAAATGAATATAAAACTGTTAAATATTAGATAAGCAGAGTGTTTATTGACAGGGACAATACAAAGTCAAATCATCAAAACACAGACATTATATTGCATGAATAGGAGTAGAAAGTCTTCATTCTCCCGGGGAATATTCTCAATAAGAATTTGTTTCATTAAAGGTCTTGTGAGACATACACAAGGATACAACATTAGGTTTGTTTAGACGTAGGTGCTCCAGTTTAAATTATGTAACATAATCACGATTTTTGTTTAGAGATCTCATTACTGCTCGAGTGATAGTGAGGCGTCTTTTCAGTAAACAGCAATACGAGTTCTATCAGACGCAGCTTCCGGTTAATGTTGTTCCGGTTCCTGTTGAGCATTTGGCTGGGCGGCTACGGGAGCGGGTACGGTGACACGGTGCATGTCTCCCTGGGGCTCGAACTGGGTGACAGTGACTCCATCAGGTAGAGATCCGACTTTGGGAGTAGCTTCATCAGCAACACCAGCGTTGGCCACACCAACAGTGGAGTATGGGTAGAAGACGTTGGTTGCAACGTTGACTTGAACCTCACACAGTGTCAGTAGTCCCTCAGCATCCCCAGTGCTTGTTTTTGTAATACGGATGTAGCGGCCATTTTGGAAGACGGTGTAGAAATAGTAGTAATAGTAGTAGTAGTAATAGTAATAGTAGTAGTAGGTTTGAAAAGGACATACAATGTCCCGAGACTGGCTCAACCCAACACCTCCGGGATTGCCGATGGCGCCACAAGTTTGGACAGTTCCCGGGGTGCCAGTCAAGGGATTGTTCTGAAGAATGTCGACCCTGATGTTGTTGAGACGTTCCGCTGCAATGCGAGAGGCATATTGATATAGTTATACACGTTAGTCGTTGTGGTATGTCATCATCAGGGTTATCCACACAAATAGGGGAGGCACTGTCTCTATATATTGTCACTTTAATACTACAGGAAGTGGGAGGTTTAAGGAATAAGTTTTAAAATGACCATTTGAAGTAACTCTGTTTAAACCATTAACAATGCTATTATTGATGCAGTTGATTCTAAGTCAGCCATTAACCATACAAGTAAAACTGAAGCAAGTATAGTCGCTTATGCAAAACGATAGAAAAAATAAACATCAACCATAATCGAATCGAATCTGTTGAGTCCGGAAGTAGAATAGACTCGCACACTACGAGCTCGTTGAATCTCCATCCGCAATCAACAGGTACTCATGAATTTTCCATGACGTAATAATGACAGAGGATACAGTGAATGACACAATGCACACTTACCACAGCAGTCCCCTCTGTTGAAGATTCTGACGCTGTAGATATTGAAGTTTGCTCCAAGGTCGACGAACCACACGGGGTTGTCGTCGCCGATGGCACTGGAGAAGCAACTGCCTGAGAGGAAGTTGCCATTTGTGTTGCCATCGACGGCCAAATTGGAAGTCGCATTTAGTCCTTGAGCGGCGAACACGAAAGACGATGTTGACCCCGTTGATTTACCCGTCGCGATCTGGCTTGTTGAAACGAAAACGTTTTGTCCTGCAAGAAATATAAGAAGTGTAGGAATGACTTTCTGAAGTAAAATGTGTATGAAAACGGAATGATAGTTAACATGAAGTAAGAATGACATGGTTCCTAAACTGACTGAATCATACGTGCTTTTGCGACATATTCTACTCATGGCATGACCGATAAACTATAGTAATATACAAGAATCTGGTGGTCCTTAGCTTATCTTCCTAGCGGACTGAAGTGTATATTGTTTCGAGACATAGACTTGACAAAATGAATGCTATGACCCATAACGAATCAACTAACTTGAAACTCAAACTATGTATTTCGTTTGTTGTTTAACACCATACTCAGCAATATTCTGTAAACAAACGAATCCTGACCAGAAAATCCATGATTGACATCACGAGCATCGATCTACACAATTCAGTGAACCTGACCACCCGATACCATTAGCCGCCTCTTACGACAAGCAAAGTCGCTTTTTATGCCAAGCATGGGTTGCTGCAGCCTATTCTATCCCGGATCTTCACGGGTCGGTGGCTCAAACTAAAAAAGCGAGATATAGCCAGATATAAATATAAAAGGGATATACTGACTGACTGAGTATGGTTTTACGCCGCTTTTAGCAATATTCCAGCAATATCACGGCGGGGGACACCAGAAATGGGCTTCACACATTGTACCCATGTCGGGAATCGAACAAAAGGGATATAAATGTAGTTCTATCTCACCTTGGGTAGAACCCAACAGCATCAACAGGGAAATGAGAATACCAACCATCTTGAGCATCAGTCAGTTGACATATGTCTTCTAGTGGAGAAAGACAGGGGAATTTATAGTTTCCTTTCTTAATCAAGAAATTGATGGTTTAATTTTAAAAAACCAGTAGGGGTTTTGGTACAGAAGTTCAAATTTAAAACGTTTAATGAGAATCCTAATTTTATACAGACAGTACGTGTTCGCGTGGTTTAATTATATATTACATAAGACAATGTTGGTGAAACGTGGCAACACATGGGCTATAGCTGACACAGTCCTGAGAGAACATGTGTTGTGACAGTTCCTATCTGAAATTGGGTGTAGAAATGTTTATGGGATTAACACTGCAGTTCGAGCATCGGAGATGAATGGAACATTGTTTAAGATTTATTTTGTTGATTGCTGGTTTGTGACATCGAGCAACCAAGTTCCAAAGTTGCATTAACAATAAATCTCAAGCGTTAAATAGTGCCATATTTGCCTTAAAGTTTTTACCAAAGAACTTTTGTTTTAATTTTAAGCAACCAATTCCATTGTTGTTTCAACGTTAAATCTTCAGTGTTTGAAAATGTTACAGATTCCATGGATTGCTGACGATAAATACAATTTTAAAGGACTTTTTAAAAATTTGGACGTCAAATATTTGAAATTATGATAATTCTTATTAAAATTCCTATCTAAGACCACATGTATTTATCATGTGTAAATGTTCGACATGTAGATTTATGTACTTATGTGGAGGCTTAATTTTCTTAATAAGTCGTTTGCAGTGTCACGATACAAAATTTTGTGTAGAAACCCTTGATATCATATCATTATTTCAAAAGTAAGTAATTTGTATGATGCTTCTAACCCATCGTTAATCACGTTAAGAAACCAATCTGATCAAAATATCTGATATTTTTCAAAGAAACCAGAGGTATAGGATTGATAGACATTGATATGATGTGTACCAACACATATTTTTCAAATGAATAGAAATTGGAAAAGTTTGGAGAATTCTTTTTCCATAAAAGCCACAGATCTGAATCGCCATGAATATGTGCAAGATCGATAATAATATTTGGATGTGTTCATGCAATTGACATATTTGTTTATTCTGTTTTTAAATTAAAAACAAAACTGAGTTTCATTTGTGGAAAATGTTCTAGCCTCTTCTTCTCCGAAGCTATAGACCTAAGAGAAAAATGTAGGACTACAGTTGGATTCCGATTTAATCATACCTTTCATGTGGCGGTCTTATGGGAGGAGTACAGATTTGCGGGGTCGGGAAAAGAACAAACACGTCCTTTTAATGCAAATGTGTGAGTGGTGGGAGAGCAGGACATGCTTACTCTTTTCGTGAACACCTGGTGTCATCACCTATATTCAGTGATCCATTCATCCAATTTCCACCACCCATTTGTCTATGGCGCTCAATGGAATCTGTGTTGGTGGATGATAGAGACTGATTTTTTTCTGGCGTTGGCGTTTTCTATGTACTTGAAGTGGGTCGATGTGTCTGTCTGGTGATAGATTGAATTCTCCAAGATCCATCATAACGTCAGTACCATGTATCAATTATGCTACAGCAACTACAAAAGAAATGTTTTGACCGAGACATTAAATATACCTTCTGTGAAGGAAAAGAACATATTTTTAATGTACTTTACTTGTAAGCAGCATAATACATGCACTTGTAGGCAGCAGACGTAATTAAAGGTTAACAAATCGTTTTCAGTTTCAACGAAATCAGTAAATGGGCTATCCTGTCACTGGATTGTCTGGTCATGACTCGATTGTTTCCAGTCCGCCGTCGTAAGGCGGGAGTTTGTGCAACGTTAACAAACAAAGAAACCCTTCCCTTTTTATGCAAATTGTGTGAGTGGAGGGTTCTACCGGTAGGGCAGGACATGCTAATCCTTTACACAAACGCCTGGTGTCATCTCTGATTTTCGGTGAAGTATTCTTCTAATTTTCACCACTGTTTTGCTTTTTGCGCGGATCATTCCCTGGCATTGGCGTTGGTGTTTTATATTTACACGTAGGTAATGAATTAAGATTATATTTTTCTTAAAATTCTGTAGTTTGGCTTATTCCGTTTTGTGTGTAAAAATATGGTTACAAGACGTATTTTGTAAACATCATCACCTGCTTTTGCCCTTCTTGGGCTCATTACGAAATTAATATCCTATATATATATTTCAGGAATTACTTAACTGTTTGTTGAGGTATAATAATGAAAGATCTAACATAGATATCATACCGCATTTCATATCATAAAAGCAGATATCATTTCACAGCAATTCTCTCCTTCTTTGATGAGTATGATGGTATTCGGTGAACAACCGTGACTTGAGGTTAGTTTAAGATATACATGTATGTGCTTGCTCAAAAGGTACCTGATATTATTCATAGCAGGAAATGTCTTATTTCTTAAGCAATTTGTGTGAGTGGCGGACGGTAGCGGTAGAGCGGGACACGCATACATTTTCTTGAACACCTGGTGTCATCACTGATTGTCAGTCATCAATTCATACATAAGAATACTATGTTGCCTTTTACGTTCAATGGGATCTTTTAGCAGATAATCGTGACTGATGCTTCTCCGGCGTTGACTTTGATATGTATCAAGCATAAAAGAAACATACTCACTTTTGGTTACATTTTGAGAAAATGTTTGAATTTCCGTGGACACATGGTCCTGTAAATGACTAAATAACTAAAGTCAAGTCAAACTAATTACACAACGTTCAGAGGACTTATGTATTGTGAATGACTGAGTGTTTGAGTGATTGAATGATTGATTGAGTGGGTGTGTTTGGTGATTCTGTGAGTAAGTTTGGTTTTACACTTTCTTTATTTCTAATATCACAAGAGGGAGGTAGCGATTTGAATAATTGTGTTCTAAACATTGTTTCATTTATGTCACACTTGGAGTCATCAAGAATTGGCTTCACTCATTGTGCCCATTGTTGAAATCGACCCCAAGCCTAATGGCTAATGGCCAGTGATGGAGCTACTTTTATACATGCTCCTTATCATTAGAGTTGAGTGTTGTCATCAGTTGGTGGTCGAAGTGTCTTGTGACATTGGAAAATGAGTAAATGAATATAAAACTGTTTAATATTAGAACAGCAGAGGGTTTATTGACAGGGACAATACAAAGTCAAATCATCAAAACCGAGACACAGACATCATGTTGCATGAATAGGAACTGAAAGTCCTCATTCTCCTGGGGAATATTCTCAAAAAGAATTGGTTTCGTTAAAGGCCTTGTGAGACATACACAAGGATACAACATCAGGGTTTTTTTTAGACGTAGGTGCGCCAGTTCAAATTATGTAACATAATCACGAATTTTGTTTAGAGATCTCATTACTGCTCGAGTGATAGTCCTCAGTAGATTTCTAATAGTAAGGCGTCGTTTCAATAAACACCAATACGAGTTCTATCAGACGCAGCTTCCGGTTAATGTTGTTCCGGTTCCTGTTGAGCATTTGGCTGGGCAACTACGGGAGCGGGTACGGTGACGCGGTGCATGTCTCCCTGGGGCTCGAACTGGGTGACAGTGACTCCATCAGGAAGAGATCCGACTTTGGGAGTAGCTTCATCAGCAACACCAGCGTTGGCCACACCAACAGTGGAGTATGGGTAGAAGACGTTGGTTGCAACGTTGACTTGAACCTCACACAGTGTCAGTAGTCCATCAGCATCCCCAGTGCTTGTTTTTGTAATACGGATGTAGCGGCCATTTTGGAAGACGGTGTAGAAATAGTAGTAATAGTAGTAGTAGTAATAGTAATAGTAGTAGTAGGTTTGAAAAGGACATACAATTTCCCGAGACTGGCTCAACCCAACACCTCCGGGGTTGCCGATGGTGCCACAAGTTTGGACAGTTCCCGGGGTGCCAGTCAAGGGATTGCTCTGAAGAATGTCGACCCTGATGTTGTTGAGACGTTCCGCTGCAATGCGAAAGGCATATTGATATAGTTATACACGTTAGTCGTTGTCGTTTGTCATCAGAAAGGTTTATCCACAAACATTTTTTAAAGTTGGAGTATCTGTTGAGTCCGGAAATCGACTCACCCCCCGGAATTAACATATTCTCACGATGTTTGCTTGTTTCTTTGTTCATTGTTTAACGCAGCATTCAGCAATATTCCAGCTATATGACGGCGGTCTGTAAATAATCAAGTCTGGACCAAACAATTCAGTGATTGACATTATGAGCTTCGACCTATGCGATTGGGATACGATGACATGCATCAACCATGTCAGCGAGCCTGACCACCCGATCCGTTAATGGACTTTTACTATGTAATTATGTATAAGTGGAAACAATGAATGATGTACACTTACCACAGCAGTCCCCTCTGTTGAAGATCCTGACGCTGTAGATGTTGAAGTTTGCTCCAAGGTCGACGAACCACACGGGGTTGTCGTCGCCGATGGCACTGGAGAAGCAGCTGCCTGAGAGGAAGTTGCCATTTGTGTTGCCATCGACGGCCAAATTGGAGGTCGCATTTAGTCCTTGAGCAGCGAACACGAAAGACGACGTTGACCCCGTTGTTCTACCTGTCGCGATCTGGTTTGTTGAAACGAAAACGTTTTGTCCTGCAAGAAATATAAGAAGTGAGGGAATGACCTGATGAAATAAATGTGGATGAAAACTGTGTGATCGTTAGATGAAGTGAGAATAACAATGTGAAGAATGTATTCTCTCCAGGGACACACTACTCATGGCATGACAGATAAACTATGAATGTAGTAATAAGAAAGAATCTGGCGGTCATTAGCTCGTCTTCCTTTGCTGACTGTAGGTTGTTTGGGGACAATGTGACAACTTGACAAAACGAATGCTATGACCAATAACGAATCATAACTATCACAAAAAAGGGAAGGCTCAAACTAAATAAAGACAGATATAAATATGAAAGAGATATCAATTTGGTTCCATCTCACCTTGGGTAGAACCCAGCAGCATCAACAAGGAAATGAGAAGACCAACCATCTTGATCATCAGTCAGTTGAAATATGTC